TGCTAGGATTACAGGCGTGAGCCACTGCGCCCGGCCTGTGCTAGTGCATTTAATTGACAGTGTCTGATTCCAGCCAGAACTCTACGTGCCAGGGTGTCTGGGAAATGATTTTTAGTTTTCCGTAAGGAAAGGTGGGAGGCTGTTGCGGTGCCGACGGTAAGCAAGGGTAGTGGCTTGCCTTAGGGTGGTAACAGTGGAACTGGGTAGAAGTGGACACATTCTGAATATGTTTTAGACGTGACAGTGACCGTCTTGTTGATTGATTGGATTCGAAAGGGTAACTCCTGGGTTTTTAGCTTGAGCAAGTGGGTAGATTGTGCTCCTGGAAGAATAGCTCTGCCACTGACGTAACAGGTAAGCGGTGAGAAGCTGGTGACGATGTCAGCTTGACCAAAAAGCGATTGGTTATAAGTCTGAAATCCTGGCCCGACTGGAGACGCTGTTGAAAGCCATGGGACGTGGTCACCTGGGAAGAGTGTTGTTGGAGAAGAGAGCTAGACAGAGCCTGCAGGTGCCGACGTCACAGACCAAGCAAGGAAGGAAGCCAGCAGAGACGAAAGAGGATTGGGCACTGAGGGAGGAGAACCAAGACAGTGGCAGGGAGCCACATGGAAAAGGGAGCTCTTGAATGTGTCAAGTGCCAATGATTCAGCTGAGGACAGCAGCGCCCCTTGGATTGGACAAGTGTAGCTTTGGCGGAGTGTTGGGAACAGAAGTAAGATCGAGTTCGAGGAGAGAGGATGAGGTCTAGCTAAGGATTGATCAATTTTGTCGATCTTTTCAAAGAACCAATATTTGGTTTTATTGATTCTTTAATTTGTTTCTTTCCACTCTAATCTTTATTTCTTTCCTTCTGCTTTCTTTGGACTGAGTTTGCTCTTCTTTTTCTAGTTCCTTAAGGTGGAAGCTTAGGTCGTAGATTTGAGATCTTTCTTCTTTTTTAACGTAGGCATTGATAGCTCTGAATTCCCTCCGAGCACTCTGCCATTGCCTCCCATAGGGTTGCTGTGTTGCATTTTTGTTTTCATATGTCTCAAAATATTCTCTAATTTCCCTGTGATTTCTTCCTTCGCCCATTGGATGTTTGAGAGTGTGTTTAATTTCCACATATTTGAGTTTCCTAAATTTTCATTTTTTTTCCAGTTTTCATTCTGTTACTGATTTCTAATTCCATATACTTGAAGAACATACTTTGTATGATTTTGCTGTTTTTAAATTTAGCAAGAATTTTTTTGTGTCCTAACATATGGTCTATCCTGAAGAATGTTCTTTGTGCACTAGAGAAGAATGTATATTCTATATATATGTAATATAGAGTATCCTGTATGTGTCTATTAGGTCTAGTTGGTTTATAGTGTTGTTGATCTGTCTACTTGCTCTGTCACTGAATGGAGTATTGAATCGTTAAACTGTCAAATCTTCCTTCAATTCTGTTTTTGCTTCAGATGTTTTGGTGCTCTGTTGTTAGGTGTATCTATGTTTATAATTGTTAAGATATTCTTGATGGCTTGACCTTCCATCTTTGTCCTTTTTCTCTTTGTAACAGTTTTGCCTTAAAGTCTATTTTGTCTGATATTACTGTAGCCACTCCAGCCTCTGCTTACATGGAATATCTTTTTCCATCCTTTTACTTTCAACTTAGTTTCATCTTTGAATCTAAAATA